CTTCACCACTGGAAGTGTCTATGAGATTTTAGTGTCGGGGTTTAAATCTATTAGAAGTCTCTTTGAGATGATGATGATGATGATGACGACAACGAAGAAGGTGATGATGATGATGACGGTGATGATGATGATGATGGTGATGATGATGATGACGGTGATGATGATGATGATGATGATGATGACGGTGATGATGATGATGACGGTAATGATGATGACGGTAATGATGATGATGACAGTGAAGATGATGACGACGATGATGACGATGATGATGATGACGATGATGATGACGATGATGATGATGACGACGAAGATGGTGATGGTAATGAAAATGATAAAAATGACGATGACAATGATGATGATGACAATGATCAGGGTCAGACTCGGTGCTACCACTAGCCAAACTAGGCAGCCACCTAGTGCGCAATGCTGCCTAGGGTGCAGCCTTGACCACCCGCTCCCCCCCCCCACGGCGCCCCCCCCTCTATTTTAAATTGCAAAAGACAATAGCAGGCTGGCTATTGCATCCCGCCCACTAAGAAGAGGAGCAGAATTGAGAGACAACTTTCTCTCTCAGGTCCGCTCCTCTGCTCAGGGGGCGGGGTTTTAATAGCCAGCCTGCTATTGGCTATTTCAAATTAAATTTCATCCACCTGTCGCCTGTGGAAGCTAGCCGGCGGGAGAATGGGGCCGTGCATTGGCGGGGGGCGCAAGCAGCCAGTCTTGCCTAGGGTGCAAAATAGTCTAGCACCGGCCCTGACAATGATGATGATGATGACGATGATGATGGATTTGGGTCTGACAGGTGCACTTTCTCTTCCTCAGCCTGGAAATTACTATTTTTGGCGGTCGTCCTCTTAGCGGTCGGCGGCTCGTTCGGGAGCTCTTTACCTTCCGTGCGGAGGAGGGGGAATTTTGGTTTTATTTTCCCCTCATCTCACCCGTGAACATTCGCAGAGGTCTGCAGACAATTAGGGTCCATGTGCTGTTCACGCCTCAGACTGCGGTTTGTGTTTTCCTGCCGGGAGGGGGGAGGGGAAGGATGTGTTTTTTTTTTGGGATGAGGGGGTGATGGAGGAAGGTGACACGGGGGAGTGGAGGAGGGACCGTCCTAATAAATATCACGCAGGACCCAGATATCTCCACAACTCCTCATCATCAGAGCCTCAGAACACACCGACCTCTGTGAGTATACCTGGAC